ACCCCACCTGCCTAACAGAATGCAAGCTCTGCTTATTTCAAGACAATATTATACAAACACCAATCCACACATGCACCATTCCCAGTTTCTTTCCAGTTCCTCCATTTATCATGATTATTCTTCAGCTTATATCTAAGCACAGCACTTAGCAGTCCAGACAAGTGAAATACTTAAGAAGTGGAAACCCACTGCACGTGGTCATCACCTGCAGAAAGTCCCTGTGTGGCAGGCATTTATCCAGAGCCAAGAACTTTGTTGCTTTTGGCAGCTCTTCTTTGGAGTTTGTCTAGAAAATAAATGGTATTAACACAGTAATGAGCATTCCTATAAGATTTGACCATTCTAAAGAAGTTAGAGAGATTTAAAAGCGTAATTTATATAGATGATGACTTTTTGAAGTAGAAAAATCGGCATGGGATTGTAAGAAAGGGATGGGGGGACAAAGAGAAAGACAGACTTCACTGGAAGTCTAACGGGAAGTTGGATGCAGATGACATCAAGATAAAGCAAGAGCTACAGGTCCCCTCCAACCAAGGCAGCTGAGCACACCTAGCCTTCACACCAAAATAAAAACTTTAACATAATTAGAAACAGACTTGTTGAGTCTAGAAGGTCTAGAGTTACATCTTTACACCTAAGTAACTTGCAAATAGGAATAGGAAGTCAGACTACCTTCAGGAGCAACTCAAACCAAGACAAGTTTCAACTGAGAGGTGCTGGTTATTGGCTCTACCCAGGCCACCAGAGCACTTCATCTGCCAAGCCTTACTGCAGGCACCCTCCCACTCCTGGTTAGCTGATACCTTCTTTTCAGTTGCTTCTCTATCATTTGGTTGGAAGGTGTCTCCTTTCCCAATAAAGGGGGAAAGGAAGTGCTTTTCTACAAGCTTAAATTAAGAAGTTTCAAATTCAATAATGTCAGCTACTTTGTGCTGTTCCTGAAGAAGATCAGGCAGTTACACCACTGATTTATTAACATCTCTTTCATTTATATAAACTAGTAGTTTTAACACCACTTAATATTTTGCAGTTTAAGCTCAGTTTTAATAACTGAGCAAAAATATTAAGAAGTTGCTTTTCTGGGCATAATTACCTGCACTGGAATTCTAAAATGTGCTTGGGACATACATTCTTTATTTCCCCCCCCTCCTTTACCTGGTGTTGCATGAAAGCTGCAAATTTAACATGAAGATGTGCTGAGAACCAGTAGGTGGGTTTGAGATGCTGCAGAAGCTCTGAAGCAGCGGGGCTGCCTAGTGTGTTGCTCTCCACTTCTTGACGGAAGAAGGATTTCATTTTAAGCAGCTGTTTCTTGTTCCCGTAGTGATATATGCTCCTTGGCCAGTCATGGGACATAAATATATCAATTGGATGTTTTAACTGTCAAGCCAAAAGTGAATACAGTATAAATAAAACACATTGATAAAAAACTTTTGAAATTACACAGCATAAGACTGAACGTATAACACGTTCTATCTCTGATCAATCAGAGGTAGCTGTGATCAATAGCCTCACTTCCAAAGCAGGTAAATATATCCCTAAGCCATGTCTTTCAGGTGGCCCTGACTCTAGTCTCCACGGTTTGTGCTACAGTTTCATGGGACAGTCAGCTGGGTTTGATACAGACTGCCTTATAAAAGGGATCACATATGACAGGAAATGCCAGACACTCAGAAGGCGGCTCTTAAAAATTAGAGCTACAGAGCAAATTCTCTACCCACAATCAAAGGCATCTTCTTCCTTATTAAATTTTTAAAAGCTTTATTTAAAAGGGACAATGGCTAAGCATGATATTCCTCCTCAAAGGAAGAACCTCTCAGAAGCCTAACCAGTGTCTTCAGCATGTCTTGGTTCAATATTCAGTATATTTCCACCAGCTCTATCAGAACACACTTCTAGATGAGACAGGAGTCCAACTAGTAAGAAACTTACAGGGAAATGAATCAAACCCTTTACAATGACAGCAAAGCTTTGTCCTATGTTCAGCATCCCTATATCTACTGAACTGTGCAACTGCAACCTGACTAATCCTTCACAAGACACTTAGAAACACGTGCATTCACAGCCTCAGCCGAATGGAGCAGCCCTTGCGACAGAGCAGGGAGCAGGCAACGGCTCAGAAATAAAGCCATTTGAACATCCTTCAAATTCCTCACCCTGGAGCCAAAAAATACTTCAACCACAGAAATTTGGCATTGGCTTATTCAGCTGGTTCAATTTTGGTTAGTTAACTTCCTACCAACCAGCTTGCATGTTAGACAACATACCACCCATCTTCCTAAAGCTAACAAAGCTGGAACAGCGGTGCATAGCTGGAATTCCTTCTATTCTGGGAATTTTATCCAATTGAAAAAACAAATAACCACAATCAAAAAACAAACCATGCTCCTGCCTGTGCCTGATTCAGATCAAATTTGCAAAGTGTTGGAGGAGATAATCGACAGTGGAATCACAGCCAGCATCAAATGGCCTGTCCCGATTAGCTGGGAGTTGCTGCTGAGATTTGCTATCCAATAGTGTTCAGAGTAGCTTTAATGTCTTACTTGTAAGTTAATGAAAACTATTTACCACTGTTTAAAGAACAGATATTTCACTAACCTGCTTGAGTTTGAAGACTTCGATGTTCCTCACGTGGTAAGCACTTCTAATTGTTTGCTGGTTGTATGGTGGACACTCAAAGTGGCCTGAAACAAGGAGAAAAAAAAGAGTAGTTGCCCAAATCAACAGTTCCCTCCTAACACTGTTTGTCAGTTGGCTTCTTGGGGTCACAGAGACACCTACAGCAACCCCAAATACAAGGTTGCCAGTCATTGAAGAAGATACTGTGTTTCCTTCACAGGAGGCTTACAGCAACAGGCTGCTAACCTGTGTAGCTACCAACAACATGGCTACACACACAAACGTGCTGCAACAGCCAAAGAACAGGAACAAGTAAAAGACAGGCATTCACATAGCGAGAACAGAGCCACCCTCTGTGAGAAGTCAGCGACCAAAAGTTAAGTTAGGACTTAACAATTTGGAAAGAGGTGTAAACTAGAAGATCACAGAGCACTGCATGCGATCTGACTGAGGCCACCAATACTCTGATTTTTTTGTGTTTCTTCAAGTGCTGCTACCAGCTGTGAAATCACAGCTCCACAGATTCAGCAGCAGCTTAAACACACCTGTAACTGCCCACAGGCACCACAGGCTCTGGAACTGCAAACACATACCCTGACAAATGGGACACAATCTTCATCTCTGCCTTGGGACAAAACACCCAAACGCCCAGCAGAGCTCCTATGTGCTCTTAAGAATTAACAGAGAAATTTCCTTTTTTGTAGTTAGCATTATTGTCAAAAAAAAGTCTCATCTCCCACATGCAACATTTAGGCATGTAAACCGTATGCTTGATAACAACAAATTTAATTAGCATTGATAGGTGTTTGAATCAAGCGTTCCAGAAAACTAGTTCAGTAGTTTGCAGCTTGAAAGCCACGTGCAAAACTCCTCTGAGGAGCTATGTTACTAAAGTTAATTTTACTTTAGAGACCGCTGTGCTGAGGAGATCAGAAAGACTGACACCAAGTGTAATCTGTGATAAGATTTCTGTCCGCTGATGGAGACCCTTCCAAGGAAGAACTCTTGCATGCACGTATAACCAGGAGGAATTGATCTTGAGATGCACTGACACCAAGCCTCAGCTCAGGACAGTAAAATATCACGCTTGTAACCTGTTTCACACAAGGAAAGCTAAACAGTCTTGTACTGCATGCTAAAAGGACACCGCCACAGAAAAATCAAAACTGTTCCAACAACAACATTCCAAAGGCCCACTGCTTCCTGCTCTGGTCACCAGGCAATGACCAATTAATTAGCATTGATAGGTGTTTGAATCAAGCGTTCCAGAAAACTAGTTCAGTAGTTTGCAGCTTGAAAGCCACGTGCAAAACTCCTCTGAGGAGCTATGTTACTAAAGATAATTTTACTTTAGAGACCGCTGTGTTGAGGAGATCAGAAAGACTGACACCAAGTATAATCTGTGATAAGATTTCTGTCCGCTGATGGAGACCCTTCCAAGGAAGAACTCTTGCATGCACGTATAACCAGGAGGAATTGATCTTGAGATGCACTGACACCAAGCCTCAGCTCAGGACAGTAAAATATCACGCTTATAAACTGACTGTTTCACACAAGGAAAGCTAAACGGTCTTGTACTGCATGCTAAAAGGACACCGCCACAGAAAAATCAAAACTGTTCCAACAACAACATTCCAAAGGCCCACTGCTTCCTGCTGTGGTCGCCAGGCAGCTACCGACTCATCCACCACCTCCAGAAAAACCCGTGTGTTGAGCCAAGAGAGGCTTCCAGGGTAAGAGTTGGTTGAGAGGAGGGACAGCCAGGGCCCCCACTCTGCTCCTCCATACCTTTCCGGTAGTCGTGAGATTTGAAGATGCCTGAGATGCCACCAATCCTCACGCCGCGGAACCGTACCACGCCGGCGTAACCTAGAGGAGATAGAAGAGCAGCTGGTCATGGAGGGACCAGAGCAGGGCCCGTACCACGCCGGCGTAACCTAGAGGAGATAGAAGAGCAGCTGGTCATGGAGGGACCAGAGCAGGGCAAGAGAGGGCTGGGAGGACAAAAGACCGGAGGGAAGGGATTGTGGGGGACGGGACACCTTACCGAGGTAGTAGATATTGGGGGCCACCCACCCTCCGTAGGGCAGCTCCTGCAGGTGGTTGGACGCTTCGTGATTCCCACCGATGAACACCGTGAGGACCGGAGCCTTCTTCTCACCGGAGTAGTACCTGCGGAGGACACGACTGCTGCAGGAGAGGGCCGAGACCAGGCGAAACCAGACCGGGAGCTTAAGGCCCGGAACCGGGGCTCACCGGTAGAAGGTCTGCATGTGGCGGTACTTAGCGGGAACGGCCATACAACGGAGATCCGCCTCGTTACGGACAGCCTGGAAGTCGCCGCAGCAGAGGAGAAGGTCGGGCCGCACGTTGTGCCGCCGCTGCAACAGCTCCAGCGTCTCGTACATCTTGTCCAGGGCGCCATGGCAGCACCCGGCCACCGCCACCTTCATCGCCGCCGCTCCGCCACCGCGCAGGCGCCGCGC